CCTTCCCCTTCCCCTTCCCCTTTTCTTCCCCTCTTCTCCTTCGTTTTTGAGACAGGGTCTCCCTATGGTTCACAATGGCCTTGAGCTCACTTTGTAGCCCAGGCTGGTCTCACACTCAGCAATGCAGTCCTCCTGCCTCAGCCTCCTGAGTGCTGGGATTACGGCATGTACGACCGTGCCTGGTGTATCACTTCTTCTGGGAAATGTTTGTTCAATTCATTTTCCTATTTATCAAATGGGGTAATTGATTTTTTCTTTTTTTTATTTTTTGGTGTTCTGTATGTTCTAGATATTAATTCTCTGTCAAAAGAGCACATAGTAAAGGTGTTCTCCCTTTTGGTGCTGTCTCTTCATTCTCTTGGTTGGTTACTATATAGAAAGTTTTTAACTTAACACCTTCTATTTGTTACTTCTTTTTATTTTATTTTATTTGTATTTAGCACAGGGTCTACAGGGTCTCACTATGTAGATTGGACTTGTAGTGATCCTCCTGTTTACAACCTCCCAAGAGCTGGGATTACAGGCACACGCCACCACGTGCAGTCTCAACTGCTGTCTCAGAGCGCCCCAGGGTCAGGGCCAGCACGGCAGGCCCGGAGATCGAGCCCCCAGCGCCCCTCTGCCTAAGCAGGCGCCGTAATCCGCTGAGCTATCTGGCGGGCCCTTAGTTGTTGTTTCTTGTTGTTACTTGCTGCGCTGCCCGGTCCTGCTCAGGAGTGGCGTGCCTGTGTCCGCGGCCCTGGGTGTTCCCTCAGGTTTTCCTCTAGCTCATCTTCCACTGAGGTTTTGACCAACTTCAAATAGACTTTTATATAGGGTGAGAGGTAGGCCTCCCTTCCTTTCTTTTTTCCCTATTAAGGCAGGGCCTTATTATGCAGCTCAGCTAGGCCTTGAACTCACTGTGCGGCCAGGGTGCTAGTGAACTTGTGGCAAGATGCTCCTGCCCCGGCCTCCTGGGTGCTGCTGGGCGTGCAGGCGAGTCAGCGGTCACGTAGCCGTCCGGTTTCCCCAGCACCACCCGCCAGAGGCTGTCTTCTCTTCAGCCTATGTGTTTGGCTCTGCCTTAGACAGAATCAGGGGTCCGTAGCTGCTGTGTGTGTGTGTGTGTGTGTGTGTGTGTGTGTCCTGTATTCTGTTCAAGTGGTCTGTGTATCTGGTTTCATTTTTCCTTTTTATTAATCCTAAAAAAATTTTTTTTTATGTATTTGGTACAGGGTCTCACTCTGCAGCGTGGACTCAAGAGCTCTTCCTGTTTTCACCCTCCCCAGCACTGGGATTACAGGTGTGTGCCACCACAGCTGGAGTCTGTGGCCCGCTCAGAGCACCAGGAGCAGGGCCGGGGGCTTGTGGTGTGGAGGATCGAGCCCAAGTCGGCGCTGAGTCCACGGGGGCCTGTTTTTGTGGCAGCTCGGCGATTCTCGACCCGGTGGCTTTGCAGTTTAAGCTGAGCACGGGGCTGCTTCCCTCCTGCTCCTGCGCTTAGGGCTGCTTCGGCTACTCTGGGTCTTTTCTGTTTCCATACGACTTTGTCCCCAGTTCTGTGAAGAATGCCGCTGGTACCTGACGGAGACTACTGATCTGCTTTTGGCACACGGCTGCGTGAGCAACACCAGTCCTGCCGCTCTGTGACACGGCACGGCTCCCAGCGTCTTCCGCAATGTCTTCCCTCAGTATTCCGTAATTTTCCTTGTAGAGGACTTTTGCCTCCTTGGTTAGATTGAACCATAAGGTCTTCTAATATTTTTGAAGTTAATGTTAGTGGAATCATTTTCCTGCTTTCTTTTTCAGCCAATTCATTATCAGTGTGTAGGAAAGTGTTGATTCTTTGGGGGGCTGGGCTCCGGGAATTGAATTTAGGACCTTGCGCTTGCCAGGCAGGCGCCGCACCACTGAGCTACATCCTGGCCCCGAGCTATTGATTTTAATGTTGATCTTGTGTTGTTTTGCTTTTGGTATTTTGAGACAGGATTTCTCCATGTAGTCCAGGCTGACCTTGAGCCCACTCTGGAGCCCAGACCGGCTTCTAGCTTGTGGTGATCCTCCTGCCTCGGCCTGCAGGTTCTGGGATCCTCAGGGTGCACCACCATACTTGGCTTAATGTCGGGTCTACACCCAGTGACTCTTAAAGCAGCTGCCAGCGTGAGCCAGGTGGCTTAGTGAGGTACTCAGAATCAGACCCAAGCGCTCAGTCAGGTCTTCATTATGCCTTAGTAATGTTTCTTGCACAGTGACTTGTAAACTACAGGCACAAGTCTATCCTGGTGTGCATTCCTCCAGGCTGTGGCTGCTGCTCCTTCCCTCAAGCACAATCTATGTGGTGCAGCGGCACATGCGCTTAATCCCAGCTACTCAGGAGGCTGAGGCAGGATGACTGCAGGTTTGAGGCCAGCCTGGGCAATTTAGCAAGACCCTGTCTGAAAATAAAATATAAAAACAATTTTTTGTAGCTTGCTTGCTTTTTTTTTTTTTTTAAACATTTATTTATTTATTTAGTGTGTGTGTGTGTGTGTGTGGCCAGCTCAGCCCACCAGGGGGCAGGGCGGGCTGGCATGTGGTGCTGGGGGATCAAACCGCGGTCCCTGTGCTTTGCCAAGCTTGTTCCAAGTAGGTGCTTTAGACCATTGAGCCATCTCGCCAGCCCGCTTGCTTGCTTTCTTAAATGTATTTTGCTACAGGGTCTCATCACACAGCTGGACTCATAGTGATCCTGTTTTCAAACTCTCCAGTGTTGGGATTACAGGCATGGGCCACCACACCTGGACTCTCTTGCCATCTCAGTGTGCCCAGGGGTGGGCCAATGCGGCATGTGGTACTAGGAATCAATAAAAAAAAAAAAAAATTAAATAGAGGCCAACTGGGAATGTAGCTCAGTGGCAGAGTGCTAGCCTAGCTTGTGGTAGGCCTGGCTTCCATCCACAGTACTGGAGAAGGGGGGAGGGAGGGAGAGAGACAGAGAGAGAGAGGCAGATTCACATCCCAAACTCCAAAATACTTTTACTGTACTGAGGAACTGACCCCTTATTTATTTTGTAAGCTGGCAGTTTTCTACCGGACTCACCATAGGACATTCTAGACATTTTTCTTGTCTTCATAACTAAGTGCTGATTTTATTTTTATCCCTAGGTTCTCTCCAGGGTAGAATTTCAGGGAAGAAAAGGATCGTGACTCTTCTTTTTTATCAAGAAGGTCCAAGAGAAAATTGGTCTCAGTCCCTTGGAAGCCTACAGAAGACTACACTGTCCCGGGCTCCCAGGAAATAAAACCCACTTGGCAGAACCCCAGAGAAAATGAACATTTCACTTTCATAAAATGTTTTCCAGTACTCTGTGCTTTCGATTATTCACGCCATAGCCAAAGTGCCTCAGCGTAATGCATGCACGTGTGTCCGTGAGGGCACGCGTGTGCGCGCGTGTGCATGCGTGTGCGCGTGCCGGCAGCGCCGTGAGGACCCGGAGGACCCGGGCGCCGAGGCAGCGAGGTGTGCCCTGCCTGGCCGCTCGGTCGGGGTTCCCCTTCGCCAGCCCTGGAGTTGGTTCTCCAGCAGCAGACGAAACCCTGCTGAGCCAGCGCGGGTTCCGGGAAGCCACGTGACCCTCGCCTCCAGGGCCTCGCCGTCCGCGCAGCCGAGGTGGGTGCCATGGACCCGCGGGTGGCCCTGCTCTGCCTGCTGCCCCTGTGCCCAGGTAGGTGCTGGGCGGGGAGGGGCTGAGCCCCGCGGGAGACGCGCCGCCGCCGCCGCCGAGCCGTCCGCGCTCACCTGGGCGCCCTTCTTTCCCGGGTGCTGCCCGGCGCCCACAGGTCTGGTGGCTGCGGCCACCTCCTGCCCTCAGAACGTGAACATCGCAGGTGGCACCTTCACTCTCAGCCACGGCTGGGCCCCCGGGAGCCTCCTCACCTACTCCTGTCCCCAGGGCAGCTACCCGTCTCCGGCGTCGCGGATGTGCAAGAGCAACGGGCAGTGGCAGACCCTGGGAGCCACCCCCGGCTCCGGCCGGCGCGGGAGGGCCACCTGCAGACGTGAGGCTCCCCTGGGGCTTTGCGGGGCGCCCGCCAGGGGTCAGCCCCAGACGCTCATTTAGGATCGCTGTGGTGTGGGGGTCGCGCCCCTGCGGTGGTGAGCGGGGGAGGCATGGCCGCGCTGAGATTCCTGAGGGTCCAAGGGACTTAGAAAAAGTGAAGAGGTTAAGGCAGGAGGGTCGCAGGCTCAAGGTCAGCCTGGGCCATTTAGCAAATAAAAATGAATATCAAAATGACGCGGATCCGTGTGCCGTGCCGGCCCTACCCCCGGGCGCGTGGAGCCGGCCACAGAGCCCGGGCATGGTGGCGCACGCCTGTCATCCCAGCGCTGGGGAGGCTGAGACAGGCGAGTCCCAGCTGTGTAGTGAGACCCTGTACATTAAAATAAGTAAGTAAAATAAATAAGAAGGAAGTGGGGATGTAGCTCAGTGAGACAGCACATCCTAATGTTTAGGCCGTGGTGCAGTCCCCACAGCGAAATAGCAAAGTAACAGCAGATCTTGGAAGACGTTGACTGCTCACTGTTAGAATTTGGGGGTGGGCTCTGATGGCCCTGCGAACCAACGCTGGAGGTCATTTTGTACACACTGACTGTCCCGGAAGGGCGCCAGAGGGCCCCGCAGTCCCAACACCGGGCAAGGGCGCACAATGTACCTGTCAGCGGGCCGAACTCCCTGACGTCTCCAACACGCAACCGGCCGCCTAACACAGTGATTCCACCTGCTTCGGCGTCCCCTGCCAGGGTTCTGACAGTCCGTCGCCACGGTCCGTGTTCCTGCGATGGCAACTCCTCCGGCGCAGCAGGCGCGCCATCTGTCCCCGCGCCCCTTCTCTCTCCCCAGCTGTGCGCTGTCCGGCGCCCGTGTCCTTTGACAACGGCGTGTACTCCCCGCGGCTCGGAGCTCACCCCGTGGGCGGCAACCTGAGCTTCGAGTGCGACGCCGGCTTCACCCTGCGTGGCTCCCCCGTGCGCCACTGTCGCCCCAACGGTGTGTGGGATGGAGAGACCACCGTGTGCGACAATGGGGGTGAGCACTCCCTGAGGCTGGGGGCTTCAGAGATGACAGAAGGGCTCCTCGCGCGCGCGGCCCAGCTTTCCCAAATGCCGGTGCAGCACTTGGGACCCACCTCCAGAAATACCACAGGGAGGGTGGCCAGAAAATGCCACTGCGCAGGGCCTCGCCTGGGGGCAGGCTGGTGGCTCTCCTTCTGTCAGTTTCCAGGCCTCTGTCCGACTCATTTTTCACATCTATAAAATGGGCCACGTGGGCATCTAGAACAGCCACCAGCTCCTGATAGGCATGGTGCACACTTCCTTGGGGCTCCTGCTGCCTGCGGACCCCTGGCTACACCTGCCAGTGCCTTGGTGTGACCAAGACAGGCACTAGGTGGCAGGACCTCAGCCTCCCATGGTGGTTCGGTTTGTGGTTCATGCCTTAGGGCTTTTCTTGAGCAGTTCCTTGCACAAGCAGACACATAATTTAGTTTTGAACGATGTCTAATCTGCCTAAAGTTCAATCTGTGTGTATAGCGCTGAGCACTAAACCCGAAGCCTCATGGGTGCTGGCTAAATGCTCAGTCCCTGAGCTACACTCCTAGGCTCCCCCGCTGCTCCCCACAGGTAGTCCCTCTTCTGACTTTTGTGTGCATAGAGCAGGTTAGCCAGCATGTGAGCTTCATCTGCGTCATTGTGTGTATCAGCACTGTATTCTTTTTCACCACTGTATACTATTCTGTTTTAAAAATATAAATGATCCATTCATTCTGTGGATGAGAATTTCAGTTGCTTCCAGTTTGGGGCTATTTCTGAGTTGTAAAGTTCTTTTTTTAGTTGTAAAGTTCTAAGAGTATTCTCATGTGTGTCTTTGGTGCACTTTGTTTCTTTCATACAGCTTAGTGTTAGTGTCGCAGTGCTTATTTACTTATTTATTTATTTGTTTGCAGAACTGGGGATTAACTCAGGCCCTTGCGCTTGCAGGCGCTTATTCTACTGAGACATCTGCCCTGCCCCTTAACACTGTTTTTTGGTTTGTTTGTTTGTTTGTTTTTTGCGGAACCAGGGATTGAACTCAGGCCCTTGCGCTTGCAGGCGCTTATTCTACTGAGACATCTGCCCTGCCCCTTAACACTGTTTTTTGGTTTGTTTGTTTGTTTGTTTTTTGCGGAACCAGGGATTGAACTCAGGCCCTTGCGCTTGCCAGAGAAGCACTTATTCTACTGAGCCATCTCCCCGGCCCTTTGTTTCTTTTGAGTAATGACCTGCTCATTAGGTGGGTGGTTGGGTGCCCTGATAGGTTGGCAGGAGTATAGCTTTAGCCACGGCGTTACCCAGAGCAGGCTAGCAGCGTTCTGGCTGCTCCGAGTCCTCACTGATGCCCGCTGGGGGGATGTGCAGGGTGGGCCCCTGCACCTCTTGCTGGGGTCTCTGGGAAGGTGGGTGTGGCCAACACCAGGCCTGGGATCACCCCAGTGCAGGCGCAGAGCACAAGGCCCTTCATTCTCCCTCCCGGCCGCAGGTCACTCTGGCCTCCAGGTCTGGCCTCTCCCAGGCACCTGCAGCTCTGAGGGTCTCGCGCTGCCTGAGGGACGGGCAAGAGGTGCAGCAGCGCCGGGGCCTGGGGCCCTGCTCACCTCCACCTCTGTCTACAGCTGGCCACTGCCCCAACCCGGGCATCTCGGTGGGCGCCGTGCGGATGGGCTCCCGCTTCCGCCTCGGGGACAAGGTCAGCTATAGCTGCTCCTCGGGCCTGGTGCTCACAGGCTCTGTGGAGCGCGAGTGCCAGGCCAGTGGCGTCTGGAGCGGGACAGAGCCCCTCTGCCGCCGTAAGTAACCCCGGTGACCCTGAGACACCCGCTGGCCCTGCTGACCTCCGCTGACCCTGCGCCTCTCCCCACAGAGCCCTACTCCTACGACTTCCCTGAGGACGTGGCCCCTGCCCTCGGTATCTCCTTGTCACATATGCTGGGAGCCACCAACCCCACGCAGAAGAAGGAGGGTGAGTGTGTGCACACGGGGCCGGGAGGGCGAGGTCTGGGCAGGGGCACACAGCTGGACCGTCCCTCGCCCATCTTTGCAGAAAACGTGGCCCGCAGAATCCAGATCCAGCGCTCGGGCCACCTGAACCTCTACCTGCTGCTGGACGCCTCGCAGAGCGTGTCAGAGCAAGACTTCAGGATCTTCAAGGAGAGCGCCTCCTTCATGGTGGACAGGGTCAGCGGCCGGCCGGCCCGGGAGGGCGCCCTCAGCCCCGCCCTCAGCCCCGCCCTCAGCCCGCCCTCAGCCCCGCCCTCAGCCCCGCCCTCAGCCCCGCCCTCAGCCCCGCCCTCAGCCCCGCCCTCAGCCCCGCCCTCAGCCACCGCCCCCGGAAGTGCCCCCGGACAAGCCAGGGCGTGCGTGGTCGCTGGCGCGCGCCTATGAGTGCGCTGTTCATTCCACCACATACCTGAAAGTCGCCACTACCTGCCAGGCACCAGCCAGGTGCTGGGTGCTCGGGGACCCCAAAGATACACAGGGAGGCCGAGGCAAACAGATGACTACAGGTGCAAGGCCATCCTGGGCTGCGTCGGGAGACCCTGCCTCGCAAAACCAAAAAGCCAAAACCAGGCAATCCCCCAAAGAAAGAAACGGGGCTAATGGTTTATTTTTCAGGAATTCTTCGTCCCTCGTGATGGTCTCCCATAGATGCTGATGAGATAGGCCTTGGGAGACGTAGCAGGACAATGGCGCTACCCCTGTTGGATAATTTAATTAAATTATTTTTCATATTTTTCCTTTTAGAATTCCAATTTTTTTTAAATTTCAACTTTTGTGTGGGTTTAGACAAGTGTACTTAATACATCTGAGGAGCGAGGCGCTCCTAACATTACAACTGTGCACATATGCCCGTGGGGGGTATGTGCCCCAAATGCTCTTTACTGGCAGGCTGCATGAATAGAAACGTCTGCAAACCTTAGTTTCAATTCCGGGACTGTGCGTGCTTTTGCAATGCTGTATTTCACAATATTTCTAGTAGATGGATTTTTCTCCCAGCTATGGCTGGGGACAGATGCCAGGGCTTGTGCCACCTGGGTTGTGCCTGCAATAATCTCGGCACTCAGGAGGCTGAGGCAGAGGCAGGAGGATTGCCTTGAGTTTGAGGCCAGGCTGAACTACATAGTGAGACCTTGTCTAAAAGAAAAAAAAATGGGGCTGGGGAGATGGCTCAGTAGAATAAGTGCTGGCCTGGTAAGCGCAAGGGCCTGAGTTCAATCCCCGGTTCTGCAAAAAGAAAGAAAGAAAGAAACAAAAAGAAAGAAAGAAAAAGAAAACAGTCATCCAGCACATTTTCTGCAGAAGTTCAGCAAAGTACTCCCTTGGCGTTTTGCAAGAGCTTCCTCCGAGTGTCCTGCCCTGTCGCACCGGCCCAGGCCCTTTGCCTTCTCAGGGCGCTTGCTCACTGTGCCCCTGTCTCCCTGTAGCATCGGAGCCCTCACACCTGCTGTCACCTCTGGTCCACAGATCTTCAGCTTTGAGATCAACGTTAGTGTTGCTGTCATCACCTTTGCCTCTGAGCCCAAGGTCATCATACCTATCCAGAGTGACAGGTCCTGGGATGTGGCTGAAGTGACCTACAGCCTGGAGCATGCCAACTACAAAGGTGCGTGCATGACCGCGTGCTGTGCGTGGTGGCACACGCCTGGTCCCAGCACTTGGGAGGCTGAGGCAGGAGGTGTGGGAGCTGAAGGCCAGCCTGGTCTATGTAGTGAGATTTTGTCTCAAAACAACAAGGGGAAAAACAAAAGCTGCAGTGATCATGAAGGTGACAGACGAGAGGGTGTCGAGGACCTGCTGTTTGCAGACAGACTGGAGACAACTCCAAGAAATGGAGTGGGGCCTCTCGGGGGACACTGGACTCCCAAGGCTCTGGCTTCCAAGCCCAGGGCCCTAGCAGGGGCCCTCCCATCCAGGTGCACTGCCTGGCTCCCTCTCCTTCCAGATCCACCCATATGACCTGGCCGCCACGGTCCCACACTTGGTCTCCCCAGCATCGTTTGCCCATGCGCTGTGTGCAGTGACCCAAGTGGCAGCCATCAAATGTCTAACAGCCTAGGTTCTTTGCAAACCTCATCTTTGAATTGTGGGTCTGAGAGTGGTTTGGATCTAGGGTTTCTTATGACAGGGCCTCCCTTTATAGTTCAGACTGTCCTTGAACTCACTAGGTAGCCTAGGGTGGCCTCGAACTTGTGATGATCCTCCTGTCTCAGCCTCCTGATTGCTGGGACTACAGGCGTGTGCCACCATGCCTGGCCCTTAATGGAAATTGCTAAGCTAGAAAGGCCTTAAGGTTTGAAGAGGACATCTCTATGTGGATAGCAGAGGTCTGAGTTGTTTTTTTTTTTTAATTTCTTTATTTTATTTATGTGTGTGTGGGGGGAGCAGGCCAGCTCAGCCCACCAGGGGAGGGGCTGGCTGGCATGTGGTGCTGGGGGATTGAACTGCGGTCCATGTGCTTTGCTAAGCTTGTTCTAAGTAGGTGCTTTAGACCACTGAGCCATCTCACCAGCCCAGAAGTCTGAGTTTATCAAAGCAGTTGGATAACTTGCATTTCTAGAGGTTGGAGGAACAGCTTCCCCCCATGCCAGGCAGAAGGGGAAAGTTCCTGAGAGAGCCCTTTCTTTGGCATATTCCAGATCATGAAAATGGCACCGGGACCAACATCTACAAGGCCCTCAACAGCGTCTACATCATGATGAATAACCAGATGGCGCGCCTTGGCATGGAGACCATGGCCTGGCAGGAGATTCGACATGCCATCATCCTCCTGACAGATGGTGGGTGAGGTGGTCGAGCCTCCTGCCTCAGCCTCCCGAGCGCTGGGCTCCTAGCATGCCCAGGACCTTGGGGCTTTCTTGCTCTGCATGGCAAATGTATTTTAACAGAATGAGTTGCACCATATTGCAGTTGAACCCTACTGCATTATGTGTTGCAATGTAAAATAACTTCTTATGAAAGAGCCCTATTATTTTTTATACATGAGATGGGTTTTTCTTGTCTTTTTGAGACAGGGTCCCGCTATGCAGTTCAGGCTGGCCTTTAGCTCATGTTGTAGCTCAGGCTGGTCCTGAATTTGTAACAAGCCTCCTGCCTCAGCCTCTCGAGTGCCAGGATTACAGGCATGAGCCACCATACCTGGCTGAGATGGTTTTTCTAATATTGTGTATTAATACATGACACCATACAGAAAATTCTTTTTAATGTTCATGTTTTAGTTTTTAAAATCTCATGTATTTATGGAGCATAACATAAAGCCCACATCCTACACATTTATTGGGCACAGTGTGAATGGCCAGCTCAGAGTAACTGGTGGATCTTATAACCTCTGACATTTATCCTTTCCTTTGTGCTGGAGATGCTCAAAATGATCTCTATCAGCTGGGTTTGTTTTGGTTTTTTTTGAGACAAGGACCCACTATGTAGCCCAGGCTGGCCTCACATTTGTGGTGATCCTCCTGCCTCCTGAGTGCTGGGATTCCAGATGTGCATCACATCTGGCCTTCCACCAGCTTTTTTTCAAAATTATTTTTTATTTATATGGGGGATTAAACTCAGGACCTCACCCTTGACAGTCAGGTGGTTATGCTGCTGAGCTGTCTCCCAGGCCCCCACCAACTATTTTGATTTTTTATTTGTGTGTGTGTGTGTGTGTGTGTGTGGCCAGCTCAGCCCACCAGGGGGCGGGGCTGGCTGGCATGTGGTGCTGGGGGATTGAACCGCTGGCCCTGTGATTTGCTAGGCTTGTTCTAAGCAGGTGCTTTAGACCACTGAGCCGTCTCACCAGCCCCCCACCAACTATTTTGAAAGAGTCAATTGTTTTCAACCACAGTTATCCTCCTGTGTTACAGAACATTGGAAAAATATGGAACATTTCATGAATTTGTTCCAAGTTTAGTATGTGTTACCAACTGAAGCACAGTCTCAGTTTCTTAGTTATAGAGTAGGAATGGTGCTGATAACAATCATGATAAGACGCGACAGGGAACGACAGCCACCCTCCCTTCTGTGTGCGATTTTTATGGGTGGTTTGTGTGACAGTGCTCTGGCAGTAGCATGCTCAGTTCCGGTGCCCAACTGGGGGGAGCTGGCACTACTGGGGGCCGGTTCCCGAGCAGAACTGCTGGAGGTACAGCAGGATTTAGCAGCCCAGAGTGGACTAGGCCTCTGCCCTGTACCTCTTGATTTTGTCCAAATGGTGCAGCTCCTCCAGCACTGAGGTCCTGCTCTGTGAAATAGGGATGTCCACATTTTGGGGAAGATCATGAGAATTAAGGAAGAAAAAGTCTGCGAAGCACAGGCCCAGTGTGGGTGCACTGAGGCCCCGGGCTAAGCGCCCCATGCCCTCTCTGCCCTCTCGCTCCAGGGAAGTCCAACATGGGCGGCTCGCCCAAGCCGGCGGTGGACCGCATCAAGGAAGTGCTCAACATCAGACAGAACAGGAACGACTATCTGGGTGAGTCGCCCGTGTCCCTGTGGGGGTTGTGGCCTTCGCCTGCGTCCCAAGGTGTCCCGGCGCGGGCTCAGCGGGCTCCGGGGAGGATTGGGTCTGTGACCCTAGGGTGGGCGGGGCTTTTGGCGGCTCCGCCCACGGGGCGTGGCCTCGCCCCTCCGCACCTGCGGTCGGCGCGCATTGTGGGACCTTTCCTGGAAGAGAGAACTAGGATTCTTTGTCGGGTCAGCCCCTGGAGCGCCTCGCCTAGCAGCCAGTTAGCTGACGGACCCCTTGGCTGCAGCGGCCTCTGACAGCACTTCCTCAGGTTCAGGGGAACAACAAATCGCACTCACCTTTGTCCAGAAAGGAATTATCTTTACTGTTTTTTTTTTGTTTTTTTTTTTTAATATTTATTTATTTATTTATTTGTGTGTGTGGCCAGCTCAGCCCACCAGGGGGCGGGGCTGGCTGGCATGTGGTGCTGGGGGATTGAACCGCGGTCCCTTGTACTTTGCTAAGCTTGTTCTAAGTAGGTGCTTTAGACCACTGAGCCATCTCACCAGCCCTCTTTACTGTTTCAGTAGCAGGGATTGAGCCCAGGGCCCCTGAGCAGAGCTGCATCCTCTGTCTTTTAAAATATTTTCACTTTGAGACAAGATCTCACGTAGAGCCAAGTTGTCAAACTCTTAGCCCCCCTGCCGCAGCAGGTGTGTGCCCTGCGCGTGGCAGGTAGCTGGTCTTGAGCCTTGAGAAATCTCTCTCCCCGGCTTTTCTGTTGTAGCCTCGCTGCCACCTAGCTGGGCTGGTTGTGTGCGCGTGTTGCACGTGTGCGCGTGTGTTTTGCTGTGCTGGAGACTGAACCCCAGGCCTCACAAGCTTTCTTTTACATCGTGGCCCAAGGAGGACAAAACTCAAACTGGAATTCCTTCCCCCTTAGCACCGAGACAGGATCAAATGCTTGAAAATTCTTTGTTAAAGTGGGTCAGGAAGGCTGGGAGAGCCTGGTCGGCACTCCGCCGCCGGGCTTAGGGCCTCACGACCGCCGCCCCTGCGTCAGGGCCAGGGATGGAGTTCAGAGCCACGGCTCACCCGCCCTCGGCGGGCCTCGCTCGCACCGCAAAGACCCCTTCACAGTCCCGGTGCTCGGGTCAGCTCGGACAGAGCCTTTTGGGAGCCCGGCGCCATCCGTTGGAGGCCGCACACCCACACCAAGGCGCGCGGCGAAGTGGCTCCCAGTAGGGCATGAACCGAGGCGGGCGTCACGTGAGCCAGACCTGGGCGAGTGGGAAGTGAGTGCCGTGTGGGCGGCTGCGGACCGCGGAGTCCACGAGGAAATGAAGCCATCCGAGAGGGGGCAGGCCAGGAGGCCGGGGCGGCTCGGAGGGTCTTGGCGCGCGCAGCAAGCCCAAGCGCCAGCTTTCCCGCGGCGCTCAGGTGACCCCTCCCGCTGCAGACATCTATGCCATCGGGGTGGGCAGCCTGGATGTGGACTGGAGAGAGCTGAACGAGCTGGCGTCCAAGAAGGACGGGGAGAAGCACGCCTTCAAGCTGCCCAACGCGGCCGCGCTGCGCCAGGTCTTCGAGCACATACTGGGTGCGGGGCCGCTCTGCGTCGCGTGGGCACGGGGAGGAGCCCGTGGGCCCAGGCTGGGAACACCGTCCTCACGCACCCGCGCCCCGCAGACGTCTCCAAGCTCACGAGCACCATCTGTGGGGTGGGGAACATGTCAGCCAACGCCTCCGACCAGGAGAGGGCGCCCTGGCACGTCACCATCAAGGTACAAAAACGCGGCACCCTTGGGCCCCAGACGGGGAGCCGCTGTAGGACCTGGACGAGCCCGGCCCTGAATACCGCCTGCTCCCCCAGCCCAGGAGCCAGGAGACCTGCCGCGGGGCCCTCATCTCTGACCAGTGGGTGCTGACGGCCGCTCACTGCTTCCGCCAGGCGGAGGACCGCTCCACGTGGAGGGTCATCGTGGGTAAGGCGGGTGCGCCAGCTCCTGGCCCTCAGCCCGGCTCCTACCACCCACCCCAGCCGTGGCCGCTCCAGGAGTCCTAGCCACAGTGTCATTGCCAGGGGATCCCAGCTCCAGGTGGGGCAAGGAATTCCTCATTGAGGAAGAAGTGATCCATCCCGGGTTTGATGTATCTGCCAAGAGGAACCAGGGCATCCTGGAGTTCTACGGCGATGATATTGCCCTGCTCAAGTTGGCCCAGAGAGTGAAGATGTCTAGTCATGCCAGGTGCCCAAGTCGGGGTGGGAGGGTGCCCTGCAGGGGTGCATGCTCAGGCGAGACACCCAGGGGACCCTGAGGACCAGCCTGTGGGACACACACTCTCCCCGCAGGCCCATCTGCCTTCCCTGCACCATGGAGGCCAATATGGCTCTGCGAAGAGCCCCAGGCAGCACCTGCAGGGACCACGGTGAGGACAGGGCCCACGGCTTTGGGGTGCTGCTCTGTGGTTCTCAGGCTGGAGTCAAGGGACCTCTGCCAACCTCTCCTCCCCCTTCACGGCAGAGGCGGAGCTGCTGAGCCCACAGAGCATCCCTGCTCATTTTGTGGCCCTAAATGGGAACAAACTGAACGTGAACCTCAAGACGGGGACTGAGGTGAGGGGAAGAGGTTGGAGAAGCTGGGGTCTGCGGGGCGGCTCCCCAAGAGTTGCTCTTCCTACTCTGGCTGCTTTCTGCCTCTGCCTGAGGTCTAGAGGGTCCACCACTTATCCTGACTTCTCTCTCACGACCCACAATGCAGAGGGCACAGTGCATCGAGGTTGTCTCCCAAGACAGAAAGACATTCCCCAACTTGACAGATGTCAGGGAGGTGGTGACAGACCAGTTCCTGTGCAGTGGGGAGGAGGACGATGCCAACCCCTGCAAAGGTGAGTGCCCTCCGGGCCAGGGCTGCTGGGCTGGGGTGCGCAGCCCCCTCCTGACCCTGGCCCTCCTCTCTCCTTGCCGGCAGGAGAATCCGGTGGGGCAGTCTTCCTGGAGCGCAGGTTCAGGTATTTCCAGGTGAGAAGGCAAAGCTCTGGGGTGGTGGGGGGCTTGGAGGATCCCGAGGGGCCTGGCAGCTGGGTTTGAAGCTGGGGTCTCGTCCCACCCTGTCCTTTCTGCCAGGTTGGCCTGGTAAGCTGGGGTCTCTACAACCCCTGCCGTGGTTCTCCCGACAAGAATGTGCGCAGAAAGGCTCCCAAAGGCGTCCCGCCACCTAGAGACTTCCACATGAACCTCTTCCGCCTGCAGCCCTGGCTCAGGCAGCACCTGGAGGGTGTCCTGAACTTTTTGCCACTTTAATTTGGGCCACTGAGTCCTGGGCTGCCCTGCCAGCACCTGCCATCCTCCCACCTCCTGCATCCAAAGTCCAGTGTCTCTCCTAGTTGCAGAGATCCTGGGCTCCAGGAGACCTGAGGAGCTGGGGGTGCCCAGGGCTGATGCCACTGTGACTGGCCCCCCTCCTCTGGGGTATTTGGATTCTTTGCACTTTCACATGGAATTTCCCAGTTATGAAATTAATAAAACTCTCAGATTTCCACATCTGCCTGGGCCTCTGCATGGGGGATGGGAGGCAGCATGATTCCAGGAAGGTCAGAGACCCTGCTGGACAAACAGTGGCCGGACTCTGCCCTGTGACACTGCGTGCGGAGTGAGCCGGCCACTTCCTGGGTGGTCTGAGCTGGCAGGATGGACCAGGGCCTGAGAGGAGGCCCTGCCCAGGAAAGTCCTGGCCAGCTCAGGGGTGGGGCCCTGCAGTTCCTGTTTCTTCCATTGGCAGCTCCACGGGGCCCTCCTGCTCGGCTATTCCAGGAAAGTGGTGTGTGGAGGGCAGGCAGGGCCAGCGCAGGTGCCAGGACCGACTGCATAAAAGGCTGTGGGAGGGTGGGAAGGGAAGGCGGCCAGGCCCAGGTCTGCAGTTCAGCCGAGCCGGCCCACAAACCTACAGATGCACTCCCGAGCCTGCTTTAGGGCTCTGTTTTTCGTTGCCATGGGGCACAGCCTTGCCAACTGGCTCTGCCTGGTGTCCTTAGGCTTGGGGCTCTGGTCCGGAGGTAAGCAAGGGTGGCCGCCCCGACCGCTCCCCTTGGCACCCTCCTTGCCCGGCTGGGCCTCAGCAGCCTTTCTCTCCAGGTGTGAGCGCAACACCGCTGTCTTTGGCCAAGCTCCAAAGCACCTGTTCTCTGGAGGGGATAGGGATCAAAGGTGGCTCCTTCCAACTTCTCCAAGAGGGCCAGGCCCTGGAGTATGTGTGTCCCTCAGGGTTCTACCCATACCCTGTACAGACTCGAACCTGCAGGCCCACAGGGTCCTGGAGCACCCTGAAGACTCAAGACCAAAAGGTCGTCAAGAAGGCGGAGTGCCGAGGTGCGAGGCAGGGCCGGGAGCAAAGCGTGGGCCAAGGACAGCCCTTGGGAGAGGAGAGCTGTGCCGGAGCAGTGGTGGACTCGCTGGCCCCACTGGGAGTGGGAGCAGCTCTAGGGCTGCGGGTGGAGGGAGACCCAGGGCACCTGCCTAGTGTCAGGTGGCCTGGCTGGGACGAGAACCCTTGGACTGGGGGGGCACGGGGGAAGGGGTGGGCCGCTCCAGTGGGACCAGGAGGAGCTGCCTCTCAGTGACAGGGTCTCTTTCCTGTTGGTGACGTGTACTTGTCCTCTTCCCTCAAGCGATCCGCTGTCCAAGGCCTCAGGAGTTTGAGAACGGGGACTACTGGCCGAGGTCTCTCTACTACAATGTGAGCGAGGAGATCTCCTTCCACTGCTACCATGGTTACACTCTCCGGGGCTCTGCCAATCGCACCTGCCAAGCCAACGGCCGGTGGGATGGGCACACAGCCATCTGCGATGACGGAGGTGAGCCATGGGCCCCCAAGAGGGCCCTGCCTGCTCTCGTGGCTCCACTTGTTCGGGCACTGTCACTTTGTCCTCTGCCCTGTGCTGGGGGCTCAGACTCTGGGGTTCACCTCTGTCCCTTGGGCGTCCACAGCGGCATACTGCCCCAACCCTGGCATCCCCATTGGCACAAGAAAGACGGGCAGCCGATACCGCCTTGAAGACACCGTCACCTACTCCTGCAACAGAGGGCTCACACTGCGTGGCTCCCAGCAGCGACAGTGCCAGGAAGGCGGTTCTTGGAGTGGAACAGAACCTTCCTGCCAAGGTGACCCTTGACCTCAGCGCTAGGTTAGATCCTGGTCTCCAACTCTAGTGTCCCCACACAGGACACTGTCTTTTCTTCTTGCTCCTCCCAAACCTCCCAGAGAGCTTTGTTACTTCAGGCCCGGAAACGTGTTGTCCTCTGCTTTTTGCCTACTGTGTTCTTCACCTTTAAGACATCTGACCCAAGTTTTGGCTTCTCCCAGACTCCTTCATGTATGACACCCCTCAGGAGGTGGCCGAGGCCTTCCTGTCTTCCCTGACAGAGACCATAGAAGGGGTTGATGCAGAGGACGGGCACAGCCCAGGTTTGAGGGCAGAAAGGGGATTCGGGCAGGGAAGTGGAGGGGACGGAGCAGGCTGCCAGCCGTGCACATTGTCGCCTGTTTCCCTGCTGTTCCCCCAGGTGAACAACAGAAGCGGAAGATCGTCCTGGACCCTGCCGGCTCCATGAACATCTACCTGGTGTTGGACGGCTCAGACAGCATCGGAGCCAGCAACTTCACAGGGGCCAAGAGGTGCCTGGCCAGCTTGATTGAGAAGGTGGGGTCTCCTCCCTCTGAACGTGCGACACTGACCGGACTCTTCCCGGACTGGCTCTGCGGTCCCTAGCCCCTCTGAACCTCAGGGTCCCAGGACCTCTTAAGGGCCTGCCTGTCTCCCCCTTTTATGTGAAGCAGCACCTTGACGCTTAGTGGCCCTCAAAGTGCAGACTGCTCTAGACCACAGCTTTCTGCTTTTAATTCCGTGGTTGGTTGGCCCCTCGCTCACAGGTGGCAAGTTACGGGGTGAGGCCCAGGTATGGTCTGGTGACGTACGCCACAGAGCCCAAGGTCTTGGTCTGGGTGTCACAGGAGAAGAGCAGTGACGCAGACTGGGTCACGAAGCAGCTCGAGCAGATCAGCTATGAAGGTGAGCTGTTAGGGGACGAAGAGCTAGGGGCTTGCAGGGCCAGCGGCCAGAGATCTTGGGGTGCTGTGGGGAGCAGTGACATAGCAATGACAGGGGCAGGCCCCCCCATAGCAAGGCTGAATGAGGGAGCCCAGCCCAGAGGTTGGCTGGAGGCTGCTGTAGTGTGGCAGGAGTCCGTGGGATCAGCTCACAAGGTAGAAAAGCAGAGGGGCCTGGCGGCGATGGCCTCTGGAGCATGACAAGGGTGGCAGGGCAAGGCAGCAGCCTCTTCTGTCTCCACAGATCACAAGTTGAAGAGCGGCACGAACACTAAGAGGGCCCTCCAGGCCGTGTACAGCATGATGGGCTGGGAAGGGGAAAATCCTCCTGAGGGCTGGAACCGCACCCGCCATGTCATCATCCTCATGACAGATGGTTAGAAGGGCCCTTCATGGTGGGGCGCTTCCCATGGGGGCTTCCCTGGGGCCCTTTACGGGGAAGGGCCCCTCTCCTGCTCCATTACATGGCTGCATGTGTCACTGCCACCAGCCCATTGATCTTCTTAGGGGCCTGCCCCTTAGCTCAGCTCTTTAAGTGGCTGTTTCAACAAAGCAGTCAGGCTCAGGTTGCTGTGGTTCATTCCCTACAACTCAAGCCAGCCCAACCTGCCCTGAAGGCATTCGGAGAAAAAAAAAAATCCTTATTCTATTGATCTTCTTGGACTCTTCTGGCCTAGCTTTGCACCCACAGCTCCTGTCCCTCTCATAGGCCTGTACAACATGGGCGGTGACCCAGTCACGGTCATTCACGACATCCGGGACTTGCTGGACATTGGCAGGGACCGCAAGAACCCAAGGGAAGATTACCTGGGTGAGTGGGCGGCCCAGGCCCCTGACCACTCTCTCCAGGTGGGATGCTCACTTCCCCTCTCCCCCAGATGTGTACGTGTTTGGGGTGGGGCCCCTGGTGGACCAAGCGAAGATCAATGCTCTGGCTTCCAAGAAGGACAACGAACAACACGTGTTCAAGGTCAAGGACATGGAGCATCTGGAGGACGTCTTCTTCCAAATGATTGGTAGGGGGGGTGGGGTGCACAGGGAGGCTGCCAGGAATCCCGGCTTACCCTGGGCCCCACTAGGTTCACTGTCCTTGTCCCCAAGCCCCAGAGCCTGGGAGGCCGTCCTCCTGCCTAGCTCTCCAATGGGGCTGCTCCTCTTCCTGGAACTGTTCACTTAAGAGTCACAGTGCTGAGGAACTGAGGGAATCATTCTAAAGCGCTGCATTTGACAGAGGTGGAAACTGAGGCTGAGCCAGCCCGCCAGCAAGAGCTGGGCTCTGAGCTCTCAACCCCAAGTCCTTTTCCCCACACCCCCGTGTGCCCAGCCTTGTCCTCCCGAGTTTCTGCTCCCCAGGGACACGCAGGGATCCCTCAGGGCGCGCAGTCTCCCAGGTTAGCTCCTGCTCCCTTCCTGCCAGATGAAAGCCAGTCTCTGGGGCTCTGTGGCATGGCGTGGGCGCACAGGAAGGGGACCCAGTACCACAAGTACCCGTGGCAGGCCAAGATCTCAGTCACGGTAAGCAGGCACCCTGCACGGGCCGGCAGGGAGAGGCTTCTGTCGCGGCCTCCGCGCGGCTGAGCGTGCTCCGCCGTGCCCGCAGAGGCCGCAGAAGGGGCACGAGAACTGCATGGGGGCGGTGGTGTCGGAGTACTTCGTGCTGACGGCGGCTCACTGCTTCACCGTGGAGGACCAGAAGCACTCCATCAAGGTCAATGTGGGTAAGGGCTCTCCTCCCTCGCGGTGCGCTGCGCCCCGCCCTGCCCCGCCCAGGAGGCGGCCCAGAAGCCCAGGCGGCCGAGCCAGACCCCAGACCCCAGACCCCAGACCCCAGGCCGCCGCGGGGGAATGCAGCCCCTGCTGTCCTCCCCCAGGAGGGAAGAGGCAGGACCTGGAGATAGAAGAAGTCCTGTTCCACCCGAAGTACAACATCAATGGGAAGAAGGAGCGAGGGATTCTGGAATTTTACGACTACGATGTGGCTTTGATCAAGCTCAAGAATAAGCTGGCATTTGGCAAGACTCTCAGGCAGGCAGCAGGGGTCCCCGCAAAGGCCTGGAGAAGAGGGCTGGGGCATGGGATGGGCTGTGACTGTCCTCACCCCTGAGCAGGCCGGTGTGCCTCCCCTGCACCAAGGGAACGACTCGAGCTCTGCGGCTTCCTCAGACAGCTACTTGCCAGCAACACAGTAAGGCGTGATCGGTGACACCGCCTGCCTCAGCGACGGCCTTTCAGAGCTCCCCAGGGGAATGGGCAGCTGCAGCACGGGTGCCCACAATTCACCCCGGCCTAGGTCACAGGGGACCCGAGGGGGCAGCTGGTGTAACCCAGCCTGTCCTCCCATCCAGAGGAAGAGCTGCTCCCTGCAAAGGACATCAAGGCCCTGTTTGTCTCTGAGGAACAGAAGAAGCTGACTTGGAAGGAGGTCTATATCAAGAATGGAGAGAAGGTGAGCGCTGGGGCTCCGCGCAGGGGGTGCGCTAGGGCCCCGCCAGCTTTGCCCATCACCTGCTCCCCTGCAGAAAGCCAGCTGCGAGAGGGACGCCAGGCACGCCCCGGGCTATGACAAGGTCCAGGACATCTCTGAGGTAGTCACACCCAGGTTCCTGTGCACCGGCGGAGTGGACCCCTACGACGACCCCAACACCTGCAAAGGTGAGGTGGCTCTCTGGCAGCTGGCTCAGGCCGGAGGCCTGGCGCTCCCTCCCCTACAGCTCCTCTCTCCCACAGGGGATTCTGGCGGCCCTCTGATCATCCACAAGCGGAGTCGCTTCATCCAGGTAAGTGGCGCTCCCCCGACTGGGAGAGCTTCATGCGTGTGGCTGGAGGTGGGAGGATGGCCAAGGCTGCCGCTCTCAGGGACAGGCCCTTGCCCTGGGCAGTCAGGGTCACGTGTCTGCCTGCGGTATTGGGGGAACGCGGCCGGCCGTGGGGGGTTCCTGTGCCTCCTGTAGGCCTGCGCAGACGCAGGTGGGCACAGCCACACCTCCTAGCATTAGGAAGAAACTGCACCGAGTGGCCCCTGGCATGCCCTCACCCTGGCAGGTTGGCGTGATCAGCTGGGGAGTGGTGGACGTCTGCTATGACCAGAAACGGCGACAGCAGGCACCCGCTTACGCCCGGGACTTTCACGTCAATCTCTTCCAAGTGCTGCCCTGGCTCAAGCAGAAACTCAAAGATGAGGATCTGGATTTCCTATAGGTGTTTCCTGCTGGAAGGGGCACCGGGTCCAATTAAAACAGCTGCGATAATCACTGTGTTCCAAGGTCCTTTGGGGCAGGCGTGGGGGATGTGCGCTGGCCACGCTGTTAGGGCCGAGATCAAGCCTGACAGCCATTTTTAAAGGCCTGACCCAGAGACCAAGTGCTGAGACCGGAGGCTGAGGAGGCGTGAGCTTCCACCTTGGTGTTTACTGAGACTGAGGCCAGCAAGGGGGGAATCCAGCTTCACACCCTAAAAGCCATCCACAAGGTTTTCCTTGTAGACATCATCACTGTAGACAATCTGGGTCCTCTTGTCCCGGTGGCAACCCTTCGGGCTGTTCTGGACAGCTGAGGAGGGAGAAGATGAACCGTTAAGGGCTGAAGAGCTCAGTGCCTGATCTCACTCCTGCCCCCTGGTGGCTTGTGGCCTCCTCCCTGCCTCTCACGGGGCCATAGGTGGCCAAAACTGTTGCCATGGCGACAGTAAGACACCATGGTGACAGTAGTTACTGTGGCGGAGATACTGTATTCTTAAAAAAAAAACAAAAAAAAAACAAGCCACACCAAATGTCAGACTTGTGGATATCAATTTACTTTTAGTCAATATGTCAAAAATTAAAACTTAGAAAAGCTTTGTAGCCCTTTTGTTCATACACTGAGTACTTCCTCTTATGCAGTATCTGTAGGGCAATGCCTGCTGTGAGCCCTTCTGTCTGCCACTGTCCCAGGAAAGTCTGTCATCTGACAAGATGGGTTGTCACTGGCAGTGGTGGCTCCCCAGAACTCACTGGGGCTGCTCTGGTGGAGTTCCCTGAGCCTCTGACAGTCTCCCCTGCCTCCTCCTCCTCAGGGCTGGAAGTGACACTGTCTACCCCGGCCAAGGGTCCCCCCTCACCACTCGGGCAGGGACTCACTCCAGCCAGTTCCCATCACCTTTGGTCTCTGCACCTCCTGACCACTGACCCCTGCCCTTCTCAACACCCGTGTCCTGCGGGTCTGGTGGCCTGGGGCCTCCGAAGCTGTCCCAGCCCCAAGAGCTCTTCTACTGCAGCTTTACAGCACCAGCAGTCAGTACCGCTGGGGACACCGCAGTCACGGTGCAGGGTTCCTCTGGGGCTCCCTGGGTGTGCCCCAGCCAGGCCGGTCACTGTTCTCCCCAGTGAGTCTCCCAGATGGCACTCCCGCCAAGCAGCCCTGAGCTGCCCGGCCGGCCCACATCTTCGCCCTTCACCCCCATCCTCCAGTCACTGCTGCGGGAGTTGTCTCCAGTGCCTCTCTCTCCTTCCTGCCTCTGACTGACACAGGGCCTGGGAACTCGCTCTGCTCCCATGGTCCTCACGTACATTCCGGCCCGGTCAGGGGAGCCAGGAGAGTGTGGGGGGCCAGAAAAGGGCAGGTGGTAGGAGCGGGGTGGAGGGTGGGGAACCGGCTCTTACCAAGGGAGCCCCACACAGACTTGCCAGTGGCTGCGTCCAGCATGGGCTGCTTGCGGGCGATATTGACTTTGAGCTGCACGGACTCCACCTGGGCCCCGTTGAGCTGCAAAAGCGGGGAGGGGTGGGACGGGCATGAGGGCAGCGAAGCACTGCGTGGGGGCTGCTGTCTGAGGGGCATGCGGGGCGGGGGCTGGGCAAAGTGACTATGCACTTCCCCGTTGGGGAGAGCAGATCTCCCAGGCTGCCCAGTATTTCAGTGAGAAAATAGGAGGCAGGCAAGAGGGACGCGAAGAACAGGTCCAGGAAGCCCAACCTCAGCCACGGCCTGATCTGCCGACTCCATCTTCTCATAGGTGACGAAGGCACAGCTGGGTGAGAGAGAAGGCTCAGTGGGGGCCTGGGGACCACGGCCATACCCTAGCCCCAGGAGCCTGGGGTCCCAGAGCTTACTTTCTAGGTGGGTCCATGGAGAGGTCAATGATGTTTCCGAAGGGAGAGAAGGCTCCGCGGAGCAGCGTGGGCGTCATATCCTCTCCATAGACATAGAGCGTGTTTCCCTTCCGAGGGGCGCGGCGCTCCGGGAAGGAGTCCGACCCTATCGTCACAAGACTGTCTGCATTGCCTGTGCCCTAAGACCACCCAGCCCTAGTAGAAGCCACCTCCCCCCAGCCCTGATCACTCACTGCGGAAAGACCCCTCGCGGTCGCGGTCGCGGTCGCGGTCGCGGTCGCGGTCGCGGTCGCGGTCGCGGTCGCGGTCGCGGTCCCGCTCTCGGTCCCGGTCTCTATCCCGGTCCCTCTCCCGGTCACGATCTCTGTCCCGTTCCCGGTCTCTGTCTCGATCCCGGTCTCGCTCCCGCTCCCGGTCTCTGTCACGGGTCCTCTCATGGCTGCGGTCCCGGCTGCGGCTGCGGGGAGGGGAGGCCGAAGACCGGGCACCACCACGCTCTTCATAGCCCCAGTCAAAGCTTCGAGGGGGACCATCACCAGCCCCAGGGCCCTCAGCTTCTTCGCCATCTGGCCCCAGCTCTCGGAGCCGATCACTAGAAGACACAAAGCTGGGCGACGCAGACAGTAGAGGTCAGGGGCGTCCTGTCCCCTCCTCCCAGAGCTTGTTCAGACTCAACAACCCCCTGCAGCCCCAGCCTTCCCAAGACTCAGGCACCCAACCCCACACTGACGTGACCTGGGTCCACCTCTCTAACCTCTCATATAGAGATTTCCTCTGGGGACGTCTGGATGACTAAAAGAGAGACAAGAACAGTTAGGACGGCTCCGGCTGCTGGCACCCAGTCAGAGCATGGGTCTGCCTTGGTCCTCAGCCTCTTGGTCACAGAAGTGGGATCCGTTACCTCCTGCAGGTTGTCGTCGGCGGATATGCTCCTCTGGAAGGGCTGGAAGGTGGGGGCCGGCCCCTTCTCAGGATCCTGGAGGTAGCAGCAGTTCACATCAGTATCAGGCCAGGGGGCTGCCCAACCGAGTCAGGCAGCCCTCCCCCCCCCCCTCTTTTTTTTTACTTCTTCAGCTCTATTTCTTTTAATCCTAAGTACATTTCTTAATTACGTACCAAGCTACAACCCATCCTTATTTTATCCATTTACTGGGAGTGCTGAGGCTCAAACCCAGAAATTTTGCACTGAAGTACATCTTGGTCCTTTAAAAAAAAAATAATTTTGAGGCAGAGTCTTGCAAAATCACTAGATTGCCGAGACTGGGCCTGAACTTGTGGTCCTCCGCCTCAGCCTCCCAGAGCGCTAGGCTCTCGGCTTTCCAAGGTGCAGGGATTACCTGTGTGTACCATCGTGCCCAGCCTATGTACTGCTTTTTGAACAAGTGACCCAACACCCATGTGAATTCCGTGGTTTACTGAGCCTCTTTTGATGTTTTCGTTTTTTAAATTTTTAAATTTTATTTTTCAATTTTTTATTTCTTTTGACTTTTCAGCCTGTTCTACCTCTTGGAGGAACACGTTCTGAAAGCTCTAACTCAAGGTGGGATAGACTCTCAGCATGAGTAATATAGAGAATGTAGGAGTCACCTAGTTTTGCACATTTTATGGATAAAAACCTAAAGATATATTTGATTCCCTCAATAAACTCTCCATGGGGGCCTGGGAAGGTAGTGGAGAAAGGAACTACAGCGTTGGCCAGCTGTGGCGGCACACACCTATATGTGGTCTGAGCTACTTGGGAAGCTGAGGCAGGACTGCTTGACCCAGGAGTTCAAAACTAGCCTGGGCAATACAGCAAGATTCTGGCTCAAAAGTAAGAAGAAGCTGGGCACACAGCTCAGTGAAATAGCGCCTGCCTGGCAAGTGCGAAGTCCTGAGCTTGATTCCCAGTACAAAATAATAATAATAATAAATAAATAAATAAATAAATAAATAAAATAAAACAACAAAGTAAAAAGAAATAAAAAGGAAATGAGCAAAAGCAAGCTAGCACTCAGAACGGTACGGCGCGGTGCCTGCGTCTGAATGTGCATCATTCTTTCTCTAAGCCCACTTCACATCCACTACAGAAGGCTGCTCTTGGGGTCCCCCTCGAGCTCACCTTTAGCTTGCCCTCTAGGGTTGGAGAACGTTTGAAGCCTGAGTTCTTGGTCTCAGCCTTGATGGCACTGATGGCTCCTGACTTCACCAGCTGTTTTGCCTGCTCTGTAGCTGTGGCCGTGTCCACCACGGGCTGCTCCGACAGTGCTGGGGTGGCAGACAAGAGAGATGTGGCGTTGGCTGCTGGCAGAGAGGCCCCTGCCACCCCTCGTCATCCTTCACCTCCCATCACTCACAGCGCTTGACGCCACCTTGGCTGGCTGTGCTGCTGCTACTTTGCTTCTTCAGTGCCAGCAGTGCCTTTTTCTGGGGACAAGGATGAGCAGAGAGCAGTCAGCGAGTGCCAGGCCTGCCATGACCTCGCCCAAGGGCCCTGGGCAGATCACTCCAGGATGCCTTTCTCAGAGGGGACACAAATGGCACCCCACAGCAGCACACCAAGGAAGCCCTGCCTCTTGCGTGTGACCCCAAGGATCCTCAGTGGCGCTGGCCTTACTTCACCTAACCAAGCCATGGTACCTGGGGCTTTCCAGCCTCATACTTCTGAAGTTAAAGAAAATGAACTCAATCATAAACTAGAGCCCTAGGATGGAGGTGATGAGTAAAGCTAAGCCCACACGCCCTCTGTGGGGATTCAGCCATCTCCCCATATAGCTAAAAAACTGACGCGTCATTGTAACAGGGATATCAAAAAATAGAATACACAGGTCTGACCCCCAGGAAACTCTCAGGCCAGGAAATAAAACTACCAGACAAAGCAGCCAAGAATGATCGTAGAGGTTACTTGCAGCTGAGAGCAATCCAATTTGCCTGATGCTTAATAGCTTCTAAACTGGGCCTGGATAGGATTTCCTCCCACACGTCCAGCAGGAAGGTATTTTAGAGAAAGTGGGGTGGCAAAGATACAAGGAAAGATTTAGGAACACGTGCTTCGGAGCAGTAAATAGTTCCGACTGATTAGGCAGGAAGGCCAAACTCAGGTTTCAGGGCTTTGTTCTATACACGTGAAGCTACTTACAGGCTTTGAGCGAGAGAATGAAGTTTGGCATTTTGAACAGATCGTTTTAACAAGAGTGAAGAAGTTTATCCAAAAAGAGACCGAGAAACTTGAGACCGTTACAACAGCCTGGGCAAGTTTCAGCAAAGCCCTGCTCTGAGGAAGCCACAAGAAAGAATGAAAAAGAGAAATTACTTCAGAAGAAAAATTGAAAAGATTTGGCTCACCGGGGCGGCGGCACACATGCCTGTAGTTGGCTGCTCGAGCCCAAGTTCAAGACCAGCCAGGGCAGCACAGCAAGACCTCATCTCAAAAAGGAAACCAAACACAAGCCAGAAGACTTGACAGGTGTATTTGCTATGCAAATACTGCGGTCCCAAAGTCAGAGGTGACATTACTGAAGCCCAGAACAGGGGCGAACTGAGGGTAGCCAGTCCTACAGATAGGACCTCAAGAAAGAGGTCTAGGTCAGATTAGACAGAAAGAGGGTTGCTTTCAGCTGGGGTATCTGATGCTGGTCAGTAAGGGACCAGACAGAACTGAAAAGCAGGCTTGAGAATCACCAGCCTTTTAAGTGGTTCTAAAAGCCACGGGAAAGGACGAGGATTCCGTGAAAGAGTGCACAGGCAAGAACACCCACCTGGAAGCCACACAGTGCTGAGCTGGACGCACCCGCCCGCCCGCTCCCACTCACCCCGGCTGTGTCAGGGTGCAGCGTCCGGGAAAGGCTGGGCCAGGCCCCCACACACTCCCTCACCTTCTTCTTGAGTTTGCTGAATTTCTTCTGCAGAGCCTCCTCCTCCTCGCTCAGTCCGGGGGGTATCACCAACATGGTGGCTCCTGGTTCAGGGGCAGGGCCCAAGACAGCTTTCTCCACTGTCACCAGCCGGGGTTCACACGCCATCCACCCTGTACCTCGGCCCACCCTCCAGGCCTGCTACTCCTGCCTTTGGCCGTTCCCTACCCCGTGTTTAAACCAGGCTGCCGTCCAAGCTCCTGCTCGTTGGAATCGACCGGCATTTCTGCTTCCAAGGATTACAGACACCAGAGCCTCGGGGTTCCATATGGCCCGTGAGGGAACAACACCCCCTCCGTCGCCAAGACGAAGGTACCCGATCCTCCCGGTGCCCGCTTGGGTCAGGAGGGCCAGCCGCAGGGTCCGGACCGCAGAGGCAGCGGCTGCACCCGCGCAAAGGCGAGGAGAGAGGGGGGCTCGGAGAAAAGGCTCGGAGCGACGAGGAGAATCCCTTACCTGAGGGGGCGGAACCGGGGCCCCGCGGTCTCGGGTGGCGCCCGCGCTGGCAGCTGAGAGCGGGCTCGGAGCGATGACGCGCGAGGGGCGGAGAACGCGGTAACCAAGGCGGCAACCCGGGGCTGCAGCGCGGGCACTTCCGCCCGGCCTTCCCGCAGACCGGGTCCGGCCCCTCGGCGCGCTAGTGCCCGCGCCCTGGGGGGTGTGGCGGAAGTCGGTCCACTTCCGCCCACTCTGGGGCGGGGCTTGCTCGTGGCTGCGCGCGGCGCTTCCGGGCTTCGCGGCGCTGCGGCGGCTCCAGAATGATGGAGACGGAGCGACTCGGTGAGGACCAGGGCGGTGGAACGTAGTAGCGGAAAGCTAGTGACTCTTTTTTTTTGCTCCGAATGCCTTCAGGGCAGGTTTGGCTGGCTTGAGTTGTGGGATTCGAACCACAGCAACCTGAGCCTGACTGCTTTGTTGAAGCAGCCACTTAAAGAACTGAGCTAAGGGGCAGGCCCCCAAGCTAGTGACTCTTGACCTCTAACCTCTGACCTTTCCTCCGTAGTGCTGCCTCCCCCAGATCCCCTGAATCTGCCCCTTCGGGCTGTGGAACTGGGATGCACAGGGCGCTGGGAGTTGCTGAACGTGCCGGGGGCTCCAGAGAGCACCGTGAGTGCCTTTTGACCCTAACCATCCTAAACTTCCTCTAGGTGTCACTGTAGGATCCAGCGTAGCTTTGCTCCCCTGGGAACCCGGCTGCTGCTGCACACACTTCTGCCCATTGGACCCAAGTGTCTTGGAGCCCAGCGGAGGACAGAGCAGGCAGTGAGGAGATAGCGAGGCTCTGAGAGCTGTTCTCCAAGTTGTGCCTCTTCTTGCACCCTGTTCTTTTCCCAAGCATGGGGCACCTCTTCGGAGATGTTAACTTTTGAGCACAGGTCCCTTCACCTAGGCGTGGGACTTCTCAAACGAGTGAGTCTCAACTTTTAAGAATGCCTCATAGTTAGCAAGCGAGCTTTCTAAAAAAAAAAAAAAAAAATACAGATTGCTAGGTTTATCTTCTGTGAGTCTGAAATCTAAAACCAGCATTATTAAGTAAGGCTCAGTGGTTCGGTAGCAGAGATACACTGGGAATTATTGCTTCAGCCTCGTAGCCCTAGTCTGTCTGTTGGGACCACGAACATTTCAAATCAAAACACAAATTCCATCTGCTGTCCTGTCTGCGCTTTGATGTCGTTCTGATCTCCATGCCTCTTGCTGTCCTTTGTTCCAGCTCCCCCATGGCCTCCCTCCCTGTGCCCCTGATCTGCAGCAAGAAGCAGAACAGTTGTTTCTGGCATCCCCAGCTTGGCTCCCTCTGCACGGTGTGGAGCATGGGGCCCGGTGAGGAGTCCAGAGGGACCCAGAGAGGGCGATGGGTTGCTGAAGGAAGCTGGGATGGGGAAGAGGAAGACTTGAAAATTACTTCCTTTCTTTTCAGAAAATGGCAGAGGAAGACAGACCCCTGGTCTCTCCTGGCTGTTGTGGGGGCTCCAGTCCCATCGGACCTGCAGGCCCAAAGACACCCCACCACAGGGCAGATCCTGGGCTACAAGGAGGTCAGAAGGCCCCTCCACAGGGGCTACGAGAGGCAGAGTTGGGGCCTGGAGTCAGCGGAAGCTCAGCCTTGCTGAGGCTGTCATCTCTTGTTCAGGTCCTGCTGGAGAACACTAACCTGTCAGCCACGACCTCCTTGTCTCTTCGTCGGCCTCCAGGGCCAGCCTCCCAGTCTCTGTGGGGGAACCCCACGCAGTATCCTTTCTGGCCAGGTGACTTTGGTGGGGACAGAGTAGCAGCAGAGGGGCCCTTGGTTTCCAGGGAAGGGCTTGCTGCCCATCGAGTGTCGCTGTCATCCTGATCCCAAGTCTGTTCACCCTCTCCCCAGGTGGAATGGATGAGCCAACCCTCAAAGAGCTGAGCACACGAGAGGAAGCTGAAGAGGAGATAGACTTCGAGAAAGGTGAATCAGGGCTCTACACCCGGGCCCTGAGGAGAATGCACCCACGTGGGCCTTCACTGGGCTGCTGTTAGCCCCGTCCATGAGTTTGCAAGTGAGCAAACTTCTGTGGGCCTGCAAAGGGAGGAAGTGTTTTTTCTGTGCAGCCATCAACGGAAAAGCCGTAGCTATGTTTGTGCTGTGGACGTCTGCACTACGTAACGTGTAACTTGGGCGTCAGCACGCAGTGGTCCTAATTCGGTCTCCCTGTCCCTGGTCTCCAGATCTTCTCACTGTCCCCCCTGGCTTCAAGAAAGGGGTGAACTTTGCCCCCAAGGGTGAGTTCTGTGGATTTTGCAGTGGGGCTTTTCTCCTGCGGCTAGAGGTGGGTGTGACGAGGTTGCTTTCTCTGCCCTGCACCTCAGATCACCCAGCCCCGGCTCCTGGGTTGCTCAGCCTCAGCCGTCTGCTGGAGCCTCTGGATTTGGGTGGGGGCGATGAAGATGAGAGTGAAATGGTGGGACAGATGGAAGGACGCAGAGGGGACACCAGCTCAGCCCCTTCCTGCAGTGCTCCATTGCCCCGGGCGAGCAGCTTGGAGGACCTGGTGTTGAAGGTGGGTGGTTGTGGGCAGTGGAGGAAGGAAGGAAGGGCCTCCTGGAAGGCAGCAGGGTGGCTGGCGGGGAGCCTGGAGCATCTTTAGGGGAGGTGTGGACACCCTACAAGGGCTGTCTGGCTGACTTCTTCAGGGAGCTTCCGCAGTTGTGGCCCCACCAGAGCCTCCCAAGCCTCCAGCTCAGGAGCAGTGGGCTGTTCCTGTGGATGTCACTTCCCCTGTTGGTGACTTCTACCGCCTCATTCCTCAGCCGGCCTTCCAGGTATGGTGGTCCCATCCCCACATGCTCCTCTAGCTCCCAATGGCTCAGATCCCCCTCCCACCCCCAGACCTCTTCCTTACCAGAGGCTTGGCACCATGTGGCTGCCTAAATCCTCTGTCCCAGCCCTTCCCCGCTTTGCCTGGCCAGGAGCAGGACACAAGAAGGTCCCTCCCCGCTTCAGCCACCACCGGTTCTCTCTCCCACAGTGGCCGTTTGAGCCAGACGTGTTTCAGAAACAGGCCATCCTCCACTTGGAACAGCATGACTCTGTCTTCGTCGCAGCTCACACGTCTGCAGGGAAGACAGTGGTAGCTGAATACGCCATCGCCCTGGCCCAGAAACACATGACCCGGTACTGGTGGCCTCAGCGTCTCTTCCGTAACCAGCCCCCGGTCTCCAGCCTGCTACCTGGGTCCTGCCTCTACCCCAGCTCTCCCTCATCCTGCAGACGGGTTCAGGAGCTGGGCTGAGGAGGCCAGAGGGAAATGAGAAGTGTGGCGGAAGGAGGGCTGGAGGGGTGACCTTAGGAAACTTAGGAAGGGGTGCGGCAGGACTTTGCTGGAGTTGGATTTTGAAGGAAGATGTGAAGACTATAGGAGGGGAGCTGTGAGCCTGTGGGGGGTGCATCTGGGAGGGCTCAGCTGGGTAGAGGGACTGCCCGATGGGTGTGCTGGACCTGCTGACTGCCGTCTTCCTAGTACCATCTACACCTCGCCCATCAAGGCTCTGAGCAACCAGAAGTTCCGGGATTTCCGAAACACCTTTGGGGATGTGGGGCTGCTCACGGGGGATGTGCAGCTACACCCAGAGGCCTCGTGCCTCATCATGACGACGGAGATCCTTCGGTAAGAGGGGTGCCTGGCCTGGGCAGGGGGTTCAGGCCATTTGGAGCACGTGCGGTTGAGGAGAGAGTGGAAGTGGAGCTGCTGGCCTCAGCCTCCGGTTCTGCTCCAGCTCCATGCTGTATAGTGGTTCAGATGTCATCCGGGACCTGGAGTGGGTCATCTTCGACGAGGTTCACTATATCAGTGACGCTGAGGTAAGGGGCATGGGACCCCCACAGGGAGAGCAGCTTCCCTCTTCCACACACCCGGAGGACCTTCTGCCTTTGCCCCAAGTGGAGGCCGAGCCACCTCTCTGGGGCAGAGGGGCAGCCCCTCGACCCCAGCCTGTCCCCCCATCTGTGCCAGCGCGGAGTGGTGTGGGAGGAGGTACTCATCATGCTCCCAGACCACGTCTCCATCATCCTCCTGAGCGCGACCGTCCCCAATGCCCTGGAGTTTGCTGACTGGATCGGGTGAGACACAGTCCTGAGGGCCCAGCTGATGACGGTCTGGGTATTCCTTGGTTAGAGTTAGGGGAGAACGGGGAGGAGCCAGACCTTGGGGTTGTGGCTGGGGAGCACAGTGTAGGGGCGTAGCTGCAGAATCCCCCTTAGGCCCAGAATGCCAAGGTGGGGTGGCGGAGGACAGCCTTCCTGTCTGAGTCTGCGAGGAGGGGGCAGCTGGAGATAGGCAGAGATGGAGGTTTCCTCACCCACCCCTCTCCCTGGCCTCCCTCCCCACAGGCGACTGAAGCGCCGGCAGATCTACGTGATCAGCACGCTCACCCGGCCCGTGCCCCTGGAGCACTACCTGTTCACAGGAAACAGCCCAAAGACTCAGGGGGAGCTCTTCCTGTTGCTGGACTCACAGGGGGCCTTCCACACCAAGGGGTGAGCTGGCCGCCTGGGGAGGGGCGGGGGCCTGGCCCAGCCAGACCTGACCACTGCCCACCGGTCAGGTACTACGCGGCCGTGGAGGCAAAGAAGGAGAGGACGAGCAAACACGCGCAGACCTTCGGGGCCAAGCAGCCCACACACCAGGGTGGGTCCGCTCAGGTAGGGCGGAGGTCGCGCAGCATCGAGGCCGCCCCTAGGGGGCCCTTGAGCCCTGATTGATCACACTGCTTCACTTCCAGCGGCCACCACTGAGCCCTTTCCTTTCCTTTCCAAGGACCGCGGCGTGTACCTGTCCCTGCTGGCCTCCCTCCGCACCCGGGCCCAGCTGCCGGTGGTGGTGTTCACCTTCTCCCGGGGCCGCTGCGATGAGCAGGCCTCAGGACTCACCTCGCTGGACCTCACCACGAGCTCCGAGAAGAGCGAGATCCACCTCTTCCTGCAGCGCTGCCTGGCGCGGCTGCGCGGCTCCGACCGTCAGCTGCCTCAAGTGTGTGTGTGAGGACAGGAGGGACGGGGTAGGGGAGAGCTGGTGGTGACCGGGGGCCGCCTCCCTGCTGTCGCAGGTCCTGCACATGTCCGAGCTCCTGCACCGCGGCCTGGGTGTGCACCACAGCGGCATTCTGCCCATCCTCAAGGAGATTGTGGAGATGCTCTTCAGTCGTGGCCTGGTCAAGGTGTGTGCGCTGGGGGAGGGACTTCTGGCTGGGCATCCCTTAGAGCGTAGGCAGGACTGCACAGTGGTTAGGAACTGGGGGGTAGTGGTGCACACCTGCAACCCTTGCCTGTAATCCCAGTACTCAGGAGGCTGAGGCAGGAGGAGCTCCATGAGTTTGTGACCAGCCTGGGCTACATAATGGGTTCAAAGCCAGCCTGAACTCTATAGTGTGACCCTGCCTCAAAACCTCCCAAAAAGAACTGGCACTCTGGGTTGAGATTGCCTAGGTTTAAATCTCAGCTTTCTTGTAATCTGTCTGTGTGACCTCACAAATTACTTACCTGCTCTGAACTTTTGGGTTCAGAGAAGCTGGGGGTGCATGAGGTACGAACAAGTGGGCCTCAGAAGAGAAACCCAGACAGCTAGTGAGCGTGTGGCAAGTGACTAGTAAGCTGAAACAGGAAGTGAGGTGTTTACATGGTATAGTACACAGCGATTAGACTGGCGCAGCTGAGGAGGCCGGCTGATCCACGTGGGCCGGGCCGAGAGCGCTGAGACCCTCGCGCCCCTCGACCAGCTCTCGCTGTCTGGGGTGCACCCTGATGCCGCTTCCCCCCTGCAGTAGGCAAGCCAGGTAGATACAGCACGGTCTGCGTCTCTTGCCGAGCACGTGGCACAGAGCAGTTCTTGCTACTGCTGTGAAGGAGTAGATTTATATGTTCCTTTGCTGCTTAGGATACTGTCTCTGGGGGCAGACTGTCGGTGGGGCCAGGGTACCCCTGTGGGAGCAGGGGTGGGCAGATGTGGGGAGTGCACCCCACAGAGTATTCTGCAGCACTCAGAAACAATGGCCAGCCGGGCATGGGGGTTGACGCCTGCAATCCCAGCACTCGGGAGGCTGAGGCAGGAGGATTGCTTACATTTGAGGCCAGCCTGGGCTGCATAGTGAGACCCTGCCTGAAAAGAAAAAGCAGCGGGTGGGTTCCAACCACAGGAAGGAGGATGGAGGTGGAAGATGCATGTTCAGGTGCTGTGTGGATGAAGAGATGAGAACGAGCAGCACTTGGCCCTCAGAGACCGAGAGAGGGAAGAACGAAGAGCGAGGAGTCGGTCCTGCGTGTGAACTTTAAATCACACGCTGGAGCGCGTGCCATGTGCACCCAGACTTTGTGAAACACGCCTGAATCGTTGCAGGGGAGGGATACCGGAGGCCCGTGGGGGAAGGAATGAAAGAGGAGGCCGTGCAAGCAAGACGAGGAGCGTGAGAACCCCAGCTCGTGGCCGGGGCCAGTGCTCAGCACGGTGAGGCACGCCAGGAGCGCCCCTGCGGACCTCGCTTCCCCTCTCTGCCAGGTCCTGTTTGCCACCGAGACCTTCGCGATGGGTGTGAACATGCCCGCCCGCACCGTGGTGTTCGACTCCATGCGCAAGCACGACGGCTCCACCTTCCGGGACCTGCTCCCCGGGGAGTATGTGCAGATGGCCGGCCGCGCAGGCCGCAGGGGCCTGGACCCCACGGGCACGGTCATCTTGCTCTGCAAGGGCCGCGTGCCCGAGATGGCCGACCTGCACCGCATGATGACGGTGAGGGCTTGTGCGGGGAGCCGGGCGGGCCTGCAGCCCGGGGACCTGCCGCACGCCCTCACCCAGCTGCTGTGTTCGGCCCGGGAGAAGCCAGGCTAGGAGCTAGCAAATCCAAGCACGAGGTGTGCTCCTGCGTGCTCTAGTTGCTTCGCGCAGCTGTCAGGGTCTGGCTGTCCCATTTTGCTGCCTTGAGTTGCCAAAGCCGAGCAGCAGGTTGTCTGAGGGCCTGTATTGCAGGGCTGGGGCAGGAAGCACCCGTGGGGGCAGCGGGCGCCTGGCACATCTCACCCCTCTGCCCTCCACCTGGCTCCAGGGGAAGCCGTCCCAGCTGCAGTCCCAGTTCCGCCTCACGTACACCATGATCCTCAACCTGCTGCGGGTGGACGCCCTCAGGGTGGAGGACATGATGAAGAGGAGCTTCTCGGAGTTCCCATCCCGCAAGGACAGCAAGGTAGGGAGGCTAGGGTGGGCACAGTGGGCACTGGGAGGTCAGTGGGGGGAGAGCGGGCAGGACCCATTCACAGCTTGCCCATCTGCTCAGGCCCAGGAACAGGCCCTGGCTGAACTAGCTAAGAAGTTGGGGTCCTTGGAGAAACCGGACATGAGCGGCCAGCTGGCCGACCTGCCTGAGTATTACAGCTGGGGGGAGGAGCTGGTAGAGACCCGGAGCATGATCCAGGTGAAGGAGCGCATGCAGTACGGGGAGGAGGAGAGGGCAGGGGCTCTCCTCAGACCTGGGTCCGAGCGATGCCTCGTCTCGCGGTGCCATGTGCATTCCTTGGCCCTCAGCGGTGCATCGTGGACTCTGTGAGTGGGCTGAAATCCCTCTCAGTGGGACGGGTTGTGGTTGTGAAGAATCAGGAGCATCACAACGCACTGGGCGTGATCCTGCAGGTGAGGGGTGTGGGTCCCCACGGGGAGGGCACACCAGCTGTGCCCCCCACCCCCAGCTGGGCAGGCTGCAGCCACCACAGTGCTCTTTCCCTGCTTTTCTTCCCTACCATCCCTCTCTGCCCACTTCCTTTGCCCCCCAGCCCTGGCCCTGGAAACCGACGTGGCTGCTTGGTTTGGCCCCTTCATCTGCTCTGCTGTGCTTGCGCCCTGATCGCTGCCCAAGGATGGGCACCTGTTCCTACCTGCGATGTCCACGCGCCACATCCTGGTATCCTGGCCTGTCTGTCTCCTCAGGTCTCCTCCACTTCCGCCAGCAGAGTCTTCACAACCCTGATCTTGTGTGAAAAGCCCAGGTCTGTGGACCCGCAGGATGGGCGCCCAGTCACTGCAGATGTGCCCCAACCTGATGACCTCGTGGGATTTAAGCTTTTCCTCCCTGAAGGCGAGTGAGGTGGCTGTCTGCTTCCTGGGAGCAACGTGATGCTTCATGCCCAGGTCCAACTCGGTGTCCCCGCTTTTCACAGGGCCTTGTGACCACACCGTGGCCAAGCTGCAGCTGGGAGACGTGGCTGCCATCACTACCAAGGTGCTTCGCGTCAGCGGAGAGAAGATCCTGGAGGACTTCAGCAGGAGGCAGCAACCAAAATTCAGGTCAGAGATGGCAGGAGCCCCTTTCCCAGGAAGGGACGTGGTGTGCTTGGGTCGGGTGCTTCCCTTCGAGGCCCATGACCTGCAGGGATGTGGGGGGCTCCCCCAACTGAGTGCAGGGAGGCCTCTCACCCCAGCTCTCAAACCTGGCCTCCTCTAGGAAGGAGCCTCCCCTCGCGGCTGTGACTGCTGCCGTGCAGGAGCTGCTGCGCCTGGCTCAGGCGCACCCGGCAGGACCCCCCACCCTCGACCCTGTCAATGACCTGCAGCTGAAGGATGTGTCGGTAGTGGAGGGTGGGCTCCGGGTCCGGAAACTGGAGGAGCTAATCCGGGGGGCTCAGTGTGTGCACAGTCCCCGGTTTCCTGCTCAGGTAGCTGCGAGGTGGGGTGCTTCCCCTTGGCCCTTGTTCTCAGTGGCCCTCCCTGAGGCAGCGGGCTCATGGGTTCCGCCTGCCTGTATCTCTAAAGTACCTGAAGCTGCGAGAACAAATGCAGATTGAGAGGGAGATGGAGCGGCTGCGCTTCCTGCTGTCGGACCAGTCGCTGCTGCTGCTGCCCGAGTACCACCACCGCGTCGAGGTTAGAGGAGGGGACCAGCAGGAGCTGGCAGTGAGGGCAGGGTGACAGCGGCAGGCACCCCAACACCGGCCCTTTCTGGCAGGTGCTCCGAGCCCTGGGCTATGTGGATGAGGCGGGCACAGTGAAGCTGGCGGGGCGGGTGGCTTGTGCCATGAACAGCCACGAGCTGCTGCTCACGGAGCTCATGTTCGACAACGCACTGAGCACCCTGCGGCCCGAGGAGATTGCTGCCCTGCTGTCTGGCCTGGTCTGTCAGAGCCCCGGGGACCCAGCTGATCAACTCCCGAGCACCCTCAAGGAGGTAGAGGTGCCACTCCTGTCCTGTCCCTCCCATCCTGGGCTGTGGCACTGCCAACCCTCCCCACACCATGTGAGCAGGTGTGGGTCTCCCTTGGTCTGGGCCTCCTCCAGCCTGGGCAGGGCAGGAGGCAGGGCTTGCCCTTTCCTTCCTTTCTCTAGGGGGTAGAGCGTGTCCGGGCCGTGGCCAGGAGGATTGGTGAGGTGCAGGTGGCCTGTGGCCTGAGCCAGACAGTGGAGGAATTTGTGGGCGAGCTGAACTTTGGGCTGGTGGAGGTTGTGTACGAGTGGGCCCGGGGCATGGTGAGTCCCAGGGGCATGGGGCTGGCTGGTGGGGGGTGGCGCAGGCCCTGTGCGTTCAGCCCTCACCCACTCTGCTTGCCTACAGCCCTTCTCTGAATTGGCGGGGCTCTCGGGGACTCCCGAAGGCCTGGTTGTCCGCTGCATCCAGCGCCTGGCTGAGATGTGTCGCTCACTGCGAGGGGCGGCCCGCCTCGTCGGGGAGCCTGTGCTGGGCGCTAAAATGGAGACAGCAGCCACCTTGCTACGGCGAGACATCGTCTTCGCAGCCAGTCTTTACACCCAGTGAACAACTGCGGGGTAAAAGTGTGACAATAAAGTAGTAAACGGCCGGTGTGTGTAGGCTGCTGGATCGGGTGGCATGGCTCAGAAGACAGAGCAGGGAGAACACTTAGAAACACACGTTTATTATCTGTGTACAGAGGGGCGTCAGTCCTTGGGGGACGGTGTCTTGGGGGGGGATGGCAGGTCCGAGGTCATGGCTTCCACGTACCAGGTAGGCAGGAAGGCATAAGGTGCATCGCGGTGTACAGACACGGTAACTGGGTGACCGGGCTCCCAGGAGAAGAGATGGACGAGCCTGGTGTAGGTGAAATGAGGGTTGAGGGCTGCAGGCCGAGCTCGGGGATCGAGAAGGGGAGATGGGGCCAAATGCCTCACCTGGGGTCATCCTGGACAACAGTGCTGTGGGCAAAGCTCAGGAAGGCGGCACAGAAGTTCATGCACACGGAAGGATTCCAGCCATCGCGATCATTCTGCAGCGGATGGAGGAGCAGAAGACAGTGAGGGACGGGGAAGTCGAGGGGGAGAGCATGCTGCGGCCTGGACGATACACCCAGCGGCAGGTGGAGCTGTGACACAAGTGTCTTACCCTGACGTATTCAAACATCTCCATGGTAGGAAAGGTTTTGAGGGAACAGACGAAACCCTCTGGGTTACGGAAGCCAGCAACGACATTTGGGACTCCCAGAAGGAATGACTGAGCCCACCACTTCAGGAGCTTGTGTCTGGCAGGAACAGTGTGGCGTCAGGTGGCCCCTCTGCTCTCCCCTCTGCCCTCAGTCTCCCCAGCCCTTTCCCAGGGTTTAACCCAGGCTCTTGCCCTGCCTGCCCCTGCCCCCACCCACACCTGTAGAAGTTCCTCCAGTGGCCCAGGCTGTGCATTTCCTTGGATGTCTTGAGCTCCACGTAGCACGCAGGGGGCTGTAAAGATGGAGTGTGGGGGTCTGTGCAGTCCACTTCCCCTGAGAAGAGCAGAGGGTGGCTTCCCAGGCGGCCACGGAGCACAGAGCAGAAGGCCACGTTGGTGTTAACCTCCCCAGAGGGGTCTGGGGAGCTTCCGGGTTTGTCTGCACAAGGAGAGAAGCAGCAGCAGGAGGGCTGGGGGCTTCTGGTCTGGGGAGGGGCTGTTTGCACGGAGAGGGGCGACCCTCACCTGCGCACATGTACTGCTCAAACTTGTACCCCATGTACATAAGCTCCCGGAGGAGCGGCGGCCGAGCAAGCCTCTGTGCCCGGGCAGCTGGTGTCTCCACCTCGCTCAGGTACAGTGTCCCCTGGAAGCGTGACGCTGCCAGCTGCCAGCCCTCTTGCCGCTCATACGGTGTAGTCAGCAACTTTGTCAGATGCCCCCGCCACGTCACTATGGCCCCTGCCAGCCAGGCGGGACCCCTGAGAGGGAAGAGTGAGTGTGTTGGGGTCTCCTCCAGGCTTAGCTCAGCCGGCTCCTCCCAGAATAGCCCGAGTACCACTCGGGTCAAACTCTCTGCAGCTTGGCCTTAAGTGCACCCGCAGGTCCGCCTAGCTCACCCCTCCAGCTGGCCTCGGTGTTCCAGAAGCCAGCGCAGCAGGTGGTCCAGCCCCTCTCGGACCTCCTCGTCCCGGGGACGGTATTGGTCGGGGTATCCATCTCTGAGGTCAAAATTGGGGCCTGGGCCGTTGGTGGGGGGTGGGCTGTAGTAGCGGAGGGCTCTGGCGTCTCCGTGGTATTGGCGTTGTGTGTCCAGGGAGAAGCAGCCGAGTTCAGAAGGGCGCCGGTAGAAAGGAAAGGGTCCCGAGTAGAGGGCAGGCTCTGTGGGCAGGGAGGGTGACGTGTGGGGTGGTTTGTTCTGATGCTCAGCTACCTCTGTCTTCTCAGCTTTTCTCTTGGTCCTTCTGGAGTCCATGGGGCCCTGAGAAGAGAACATTTCCGCTTTGCGGAGTGGGTCGGCACCCTGCGAGCGCCCGACTGTCCGGTGCTGGTCTTGAGACACGCAGGCCCCCGCCGGCCAGGCCCTGGGCCGGCAGCTCGCAGGTCCTTCAAAGGCAGCGCGGGCAGGAAGGCTATCAGGGTGCCGGCCAAACTTTAAAAAAAAAAAATTTTAACCCGCTATTTATTTCGAACAGGGTCTTGCTACGAAGCTCAGACTCATAGTGATCCTCCTGTTTCAGCCTCCCCAGCGTTTGGATTACAGGCGTAGACCACCACGCCCGGTTTCAGGGTCGGTGCCGCATGCGGTAATCGCAGCCGGGGCCTTGCGCTCCTCAGGCCGACGCCTAGACCGCTGAGCTATCTCCCCAGCCCCTAAGCGTTACCTCTTAAGTCTCCCAACTTCGACTTCCACCTGCTCTGGACGACAACGTCAGGGCAGGACTTCGGAAGCCGGAGCGGGGTGCAAAGGTGGCTTCTCGGCTTCCGGAGACGCAATCAGTCGGCGACGGTGGCGGGCACACCCCACGGAGGAGTGGAAAGGTGGGGTGTCTGCATCAGGATTTTGAGCGCAACCTGGTCCGCGGCTCAGCCGGGGCGACCAGAGCTCGACTGCTCTCGGCGGGAGGCAGTCGACGGCAGGCGAGGGGCGGCGCCGCTCACCCGCGCGAGCGACGACTGCCGACGGCTCGGCTGTCATCCCCGGCGAAGCCGGCGAGGGAGGACGCCCCGAGTACACGTCACTGGCCCGCGCCGGAAGAGCGTATTCTATCGAGCTCTGCCCTCAACTTCTGCCCCGGGCCGGTACCGTAAAATCCCGGGATGAGTCGCAAGAGGCATCGCCTGGTCTCGGAGATCTTGGGTCTGAAGAGGCGGCGGGAGCGGGGGCCTGTGGACGCGGACCCCCTGAGGGGCGAGTCAGGTGACCCTGGCAGCCCGGGGGCGGGCCTCACCCCGGCCCGGCGCGGTGGGACGACCCGGTCCCGTCGCTGTCACCCCGCCCCCGCCTCCGTTCAGTCCCGGTGACCCGGTCTCCTCGCCAGGGTCGGCGCGCGCGGCGGTGACGGAGCTAGTGCGGCTGTTCCCGCGAGGCCTGTTCGAGGACGAGCTGCCTCCCATCGCGCTGAGGAGCCAGGTGTACAGCCTCGTGCCCGACAGGACGGTGGCCGACCGGCAGCTGGTGAGCACGGGCGTCGGAGCGGCCCGGGCCCCGTTCGCCGGCACCCTCTCGGCCCGTCCCTCGGCCCGCCAGCGCTCGGCGAGCCCTGGCCCAGCCCAGCAGATGGGGCCGACGGCGGCGG